CAAGTCTCATAACTTCAATTCTGTTTTTCAGAGCACTGGGGTCCAAAATTTAAACAGGCAGCCAAAAATAACGGTCCACCCACTGTACATGAGAAAAGAAAAAGGTAAACAACCCAAGTGGGTTCTTCAGCATCCTCCCCAGGTACTCCTAAGTATCAGGTACACAGAGAACACCAAGAATGGAGAGACCAAACATCCTCATTAGGTCTTGGTCGAGAGGCCCCACAGGCCGGTGGGGCAGACAAAGTGGTAGAAGCGCCCCTTTGCAGGCGAGCTGGTAGTTGGCCACCATTCCCATGGGTTCGGCGGACCGTTGGCCTGATGGGACCAGTCTGAGCTTTGCAATTGGCTGACTGTGTTGTCACACGCGTGCGGGGGCCAGGCGTGTCCAGTGTGGGTGAGGGAGATTGGTCGCTATTCCCATGGGTACAGCGGACTGTCGGCCTGATGGCTCCACTCTGAAATTCTCGATTAGACGACTGTGTTGTCACACGAGTGCAGGGGCCAGGTGTGTCCGGTGCGGGCAAGGAGGAATGGTTGCTGCCTTGATACTCGCTCTTGGAGTCTGAGGTCACTACAACGGACATGTGGAAAATGGCGATCTGGTGCCCGTCTAAGACGGTTGAAAGCCGGTCACTGCCTCCCAAGAATTGGCTCAAGAAGTATTCTTGTCAATTCTTTGCCAGAATCGAGAATTTGTCCGGGTTGCTTGAAGAAATATCTGGCCTACTTTGGCCGAACTCGAGCAAGAAAAGAGTAACTGATCATAAATCATGCCCAAATACTGCAGGCAAAAAAGAGAAAAAATAGAGCAATACTGACCCAGCTTAGAGAAGTGTCTGGGTGGCCATGCTCAAACGGGATTGCAGAGGATCGGTCAAAGTTTCTCAGCAATTGTCCATCACGAGGCTGTATGTGTTTGCTGGATGAAGATCTACAAAGAATCAAATATTTGTGGTCACACGAAACCAGGCGAGGAACATGTGCTTGGAGAAACGAGTTTGTTTAGTCAATTGATCAACCGGATCATCAAATTATTCGCGCAATCCGACTTTTCTATTCTCCGACAAGGTTGACGATGGGGGAAAGGATCATTGGAAAATGTCTTATCTACACACTTGTACCAGAAACCATTGATCACTGATCAGACGATGATCATTAATGTAGAACGACGGCCTAGTCCGGTGCCGGTGCCGGATACGGATGAGCGAGCGGAGATGTATAAACGACAGAAACCGATCCTTGGGCTCGCTCAAGCAATGCATATCCCGCTGCTCAAATCAACTTGCTCATTGTTGAAGAAGTTATCGAAGATGAATCACTACGAACCAATTGCCCTTCAGGTTGAATCCAGAGCTCGATTCTAGAACGCTGACAATCTTGGAGACCCGGCCAGTGTCGATTGCTGGATTGCAATGCTTGTGTCGGTCCTTCAACCCAATCCTCGGATGATTGATGGATCTGCTAGGACGCGTTTTTATTCCTCTTGCGGCACCCCCACGGAGAAGATCGAATGTGAAAACAGATAAATGTGTCGGTTGTTGTAGCTCAGCAATCATCCGTAGGTTGTTTTTGAGATATCCGATGACTGAAAAGAAAAAGTTTATATTCAGAAAGTGGGTTTGAAGGGCGGAAAAAGTAAAAGGTTGATGAAAGATGAAGGGGTATAAGCATCCAAAGTCAATGATGATGGTGGTTTCATGAGCAACAAAAGCCAATGATGAACAGAGGTTGTTAAACAACACACTCAAGGTTTTGAATGGGGGAAGGGAAGGGATGGAGAGATTCAAAGACAGAGGGGACTTTGTCCGCTCTCGAGTCTCCTCCCTTGACGTTGTTGGACTATACTGCGTGACCAATCCCAATCGGGTTGGTTGTTGCTGATCCTCCGTTCTCCACCAGGAAGAGGCGGCCAATCGCTTGCATGGGTCTCTGCCTGGTGGGCCAGGGAGGATCAGCATTGAAACCATGGGTGAAATAAAATCACCCATGGTTTGGAATGTCCAATGATCATGGGTCGTTCCAAGACCAATGATAAAACAAAAAAACGCCCAGCACCGCTGAACACAAGGATTGGTGCCGGCCCGACTTCCCATTGAAACCATGGGTGAAACAACATCACCCAAGGATCATTGGCCTGATGCCCGTTCATCAGAGCTGAAGGGGCATCAGGCCATAGCCAGAAGTGAGATGAATGCATCATCCGGACTTCTGGCTTCCTCTCGCTGTTTCTCAACCAAAACAGGCTGTTACTCCCATCCGTTCACTCTCACTCAAGCTTTTTATGCTTCAGCTTACATCAATTGCGCGCGCGGAACACCTCAGCATTTCAGGAATTGAAGAGGATCAACAGTCATCATGCCCCAGCGTAAAGGGGTCAAACCAGAATTGGAGCTGAACCGAGGTAAGTACAATTTCTCTGTAAAAATTCCACACACCCATATAAAATAAGAATCAACATTGATTAAGTTGTTTTTTTCTTTTTTTTTTTTTTTGAGCTGTATGGAATAATTAGGTGTCAGAGGAGCCGCACAGTGGAACATGGCCATGTTTTCTCTGTGGATCCAGGAACATGGTATTCAGTTCCATTTGAAGACACATCAATTACCAAAAACATCATGGGGAGACTCGGATGCCGTGGCCTCCACATGGGAATGGCTAAGTGACGGTTGAGTCAGTGTGGGACATGAGACAGACACCAGGGGGGGGGGACAGTGATGACCTGGGGACAGCTCAGGGAAAATGACATCCCTGGGCTGTGCTGAATTTTTTAAGTGGGACGTGACAGGGATGCCAGGCGTGGAAAAGGATGTCCTGCGGACGTCATCCTGGCCCAGGGACGTCTCAGGTACAATGGCATCCCTGGGCCACGCCGATTCTTGTGAAGTGTGATGTCCTGGGGACGGCATCCCGTCCCAGGGACATCTCAGGTGCAATGGCATCCCTGGGATGCACTGATTTTTGTGAAGTGCCCTGCGTGTGTATACATGTCTTAAAGTGTAGGAAAAAAATTTAAAATGTCAAAAACTAATGGAAATTAAGCTCTAAAAATTTAAGTGAAAAAATGGGTGTAATTGTATTATTCAGAATGAACCATTCATTTTTATGGAAATTGGATGTTACCATTAAATTTTACACGTATTCAAACCTAGGAAATAATTTTAAAATTTCAAAAAGCATGAAAAATAAGGTACTAACATGTTTGCAAACAATTAATTAAAAAAGGGCCTTAATAAAAAAACGTGGTTTTTCCGCGTTTTGACGCGGTTTCTGCTGCGCGCAGCGCACGCGGTTTCCGCGTTTAGACGCGGTTTTTTAATTAATTTTTTTTTGCCATTAATTTTAAGTTTTTTTGATTTTTTAAAATTGTTTCCTAGGTTTCCAAGCGTGTAGAATTTAATGGTCAAGTCCAATTTCCATAAAAATGAGTTTTAATTATTAATTTTTTTTTTCCACTCATTTTTTCTATTAATTGTGTTCTTACATGTTTGTACCTTATTTTTTATGTTTTTTTGAAGTTTTAAAGTTGTTTCCTAGGTTTCAATACGTGTAGAATTTAATGGTAACATCCAATTTTCTCAAAACTCAACGGTTCATTTTTAATACTGAAATTTGACACTTTTTTCACTTAAATTTCTACAGGTTAATTTTCATTATTTTTTGACAATTTAAAATTTTTTCCTACACTTTGAGACATGTAAAGAATTATGGTAACAACCATTTTTCCCCAAAATGAAAACTATACCTTGAATGCTGCATTTGACACCGTTTTTTTTATTTAATTCTTTAATTTTTCACTCAATTGTTTGCATTAATTTCTTTACCTTATTTTTTATGATTTTTTGAAATTTTAAAGCTGTTTCCTACATTTAAAAGTGTTTAGAATTTAATGGTAACATTCAATTTTCATAAAACTCAGCGGTTCATTCTGAATACTGTAATTAGTCATATTTTTCAATTGATTTTTAACAGCTTAATTTTCATTATTTTTTGACATTTTAAATTTGTTTCCTACACTTTCAGACATTTTAAAAATGATGGAAAAAATCAATTTGCATCAAAATAAAAACTGTATCTTGAATAATGCCTTTGACATGTTTTTTTAATTAATTCTTACATGCTTAATTATCCTTATTTTTTGGAATTTTAAGCTCATTTCCTACAATTTGAAAGGTTTTAAAATTGATGGATGTATTCATTTTTCATTCAAATACAGTTTGTATATGGTACAAATTATGCAAGAAACGGTGTACACTCTTGTATTATAACTGAAGCTTTGAGTTTGAGGAAAATTGGACTTCACCATTAACTTCTATACATTAATAAATGTAGGAAATAAATTTAAAATTCCAAAAAATGATCAAAATTAAGCCGGTAAAAATCAATCAAAAAAGCATTAAAAAAACATGTCCAACGCAGTATTCAGTAACAAGGGCTGATTTTTATGTAAAATGGTTGTTACCATCATTTTAATCATGTCTTAAAGTGTGGGAAATAAATTTAAAATGTCAAAAAATAATGAAAATTAAGCTGTAAAAAATTAAGTGAAAAAAATGTCAAATTTCAGTATTAAACATGAACCGTTGAGTTTTGAGAAAATTGGATGTTACCATTAAATTCTACACGTATTAAAACCTAAGAAACAACTTTAAAACTTCAAAAAAACATAAAACTAAGGTACAAACATGTAAGAACACAATTAATAGAAAAAATGAGTGGAAAAAAAAAATTAATAATTAAAACTCATTTTTATGGAAATTGGACTTGACCATTAAATTCTACACGCTTGGAAACCTAGGAAACAATTTTAAAAAATCAAAAAAACTTAAAATTAATGGCAAAAAAAAATTAATTAAAAAACCGCGTCTAAACGCGGAAACCGCGTGTGCTGCGCGCAGCAGAAACCGCGTCAAAACGCGGAAAAACCGCGTTTTTTTATTAAGGCCCTTAAAAAAATGAGTTGAAAAAAAAATTAATAATCAAAAGTCATTTTTATGGAAAATGGACTTTACCATTAAATTCTACACCTTTCATAGTGTAGGAATAAATTTTAAAATTTTGAAAAAACTCGAAAAATAAGCCGTAAAAAATTAATTAAAAAACCGCGTCTAAATGCGGAAACCGCGTGTGCTGCGCGCAGCCAAAACCGCGTCAAAACGCGGAAAAACCGCGTTTTTTTATTAAGGCCCTTAATCTTAATTCATAATTTATATTTAATAATTCTATAATTAACTGTCAAATCCCCTTGAGTATTGTACATATAAAATCACTAGGATTTCACAGAAATATCATTAGAATAAGGTATTAAAATAATATTTATTCTTATACATTATGTACATATTTTATAAGCCATAAACTAATTACATATGTATAAGAATCAGCTAGTAGAAGCATGAGATGGATGAGGAATTAGCTATATAAACCTATCTGAAGCTTACCCATCCTTGATCACATCATCAGGGCATCAGATTGCATCATAAACCTCTTGGATGGTGTCATCAGGACCCTTTTGTGCTCTAGTTCAAATCTTGCATAATTCAAAGTAGCCTACACGGGAAAGGAGCCCAAATTCTACATGCAAGACTAAATTATGCATGCAGAACATGCATTTCTCATGATCACAAGCTTGCATAATCAGAGTTATACATATGCAACTAACCATACAATTGCACAGCCCCTGCACAGTAACTGTAGCTCTTTCAATTACGTGAGAAATGGGCCATAAATTCAATTATGCATGTATGATATCATGTCTTAGGACCTTCCATCAATGCATAACACTGCACAGCTACAACTCCCATCCTTACAAGAAATTTTAGAGCTGCTAAGAATCTCCCTAGTGCCCTGAGGGCCTCTCCTCTTCCCCTGAGCCCTCTGTAGAATATTTAAGGAGCCCTGATTCTTACCTTTTCCCCCCAGGAAATTCTAGTAGCATCAAACCAACACTTGTACAGTGATTATTAGTGATTCAACCCACCAATAACATTACAATCCAGCTACCTTAGACCTAAATAAATTTACTTTGCTCAGATTCAAGGCATTTCTACTTATCTCTATTGCATAAAGAATTATCCCCCAGGTTAAACAATTCTGGTTCTTAAGTGTTGATACACTTATTAATCTGAATTGTTGTTAAAAGACTTATCCCAAGTGAGTTGAAAAAGTCCTCACCTTGGAAGCCTATCAATCCATGCAAGAGGATTGATCTGGATGCCCAATTGAATAATTGGATGAGTCAGCAGTAGAAGTACCATTCCTCACTGACTCCTCCCTGTTTCTTTTACAGGTTGAGGGATTTAACCACGAATAAATCTTCTTCATTACTCTTCTTGTTAACACTCAGAGCACAACCCTTACAGGTTAGTAGCATAGAGGCTGACACAAAGTCTTGCTTTGAAGACCAGCCCATTGCCTTCTCCCTTCTTCCTCAAGACCCAGGTTGTTCCAACAGTCTTCATGTTTGGATTCAAATCCACTACATCCCACACCTTGAGCGTAGCCATGGGTTTGAGCTCAGATGATATGGCAATTGACCATTGGTTTGACTAAGCACCCTTCACTGCTTGATTGTAGTGGGAGGGAATGTCATTCACATCAGTCGTGAAAAACGCATGAGCTTGTTGTTGCTTGTATGGCAAGATGTTGTCAGATGAAACATCTCCAATGATCAGGGTGGGGTAACACGGACCAATGACTTTGATGTGGCGGTCCGGATTGGTGTCAGTTGGATCATTGTCTGGTTCTTTGGCAGGACCATCAATCTCAACTTCTGCTACTGGTTCAACAGGGGTGGTATCTGGGATTGAATCAGCTTCAAATGATTCAAAGAAAAATTCTTTATCTGAATAATTTCGGATTGAAGTCAAGCCAGATAGGGAAGGAAACAAGAGTTTGTCAAATTTTGCATGACAGGTTCGGACGAGTTTCTTGTCTTGTAGGCAAAGAATGCGATAGACAGAACCTGCATTCTCAAATCCCACAAGAACAGTTATGTCACCAGTAGCTCCAAGCTTCCAGGAATGGTTGTCTTTGGAGACCTTGATGAAGGCCTTGCAACCAAAATTCATGCTTGAAATTAAAAAAGAGGCATTGATGGCTTCTGCCCAATAATTCTTTGGTAAAGAGCTTGTGAGCATCAGTGACCGCACTTTGTCGAGGATCATGTGATTTGCTTGCTCAGAAAACCCGTTGTGTTCTGGGGTGTTGGGTGGTGAGAAGATTTGAAGGATGCCAGATTCCAAGCAAAATTTCTTGAACTAATTGCTAGTGAATTCTCTGCCGTTATTGGAGACGACTTCTCTTAACTTTGAGCTTTGAAGGTTCTCCACAAGAGCAAAAAAAATTTGAATTCAGCAAAAGTATCTGACTTTGCCTTGAGAAAGCGAACAAATTTAAAAGATGAGTATTGATCTACTATGGTGAGAAAATAATGATAGCCAGATAAAGAGGGTGGATTGATGGGTCCAACCAGATCCATGTGAATGCGATGGAGAGGAGAAAGCACATACGAAAAATGACTTGAAAAAGGAGATGAGGTCATTTTGGAGCAAATACACACCTCACAAACTTCATCAGCATTGTTATTTGCTGGAAGTGACATGGTCTTCATCACTTGAGGACTGGGGTGACCTAAACAATGATGCCATACGGAGTGGGATAAAAATGCTGAGGGTTTTTTATCAATCGAGCAGTGAAGGAGATTGTCGATGATATTCCCTTCAAATAGGATTTTGGTGCCTTCAAGAATTTTGAATTGAGCACCGTTCTTCTCTGTAGTGATTGCACTTCCAATTAATCCAACGAGAGAGATAAGTTACTGTGAGATTTCTGGAACAAGCACGCAATCTTCAAGAACAATGTTCTTTCCTCCAATCCTAATCATAGCCCAACCAAATCCGGTGGCTTGCAGAGGAGAGTTGGGATTTCCAGTTTTGATTATTACTGGCTCTTGACTGAAGGTGGAGAACATGTTGCAACTTCTGATTATGTGATGCAAAGCGGCCGAGTCAATGACAACCGAGTGATGGTTTGCTGGATTGATGATGGACACGAAGGCAGATGTTTGCGCAAGGCTTGCACTAGCATTTTGAATTGGTCAAGAGGATGAAGAGTTACTTTTCAGATGTGGATAGTTCTCATGGAAGTTCTTCTCAGGATGATTAGATTTGGGTTTATGTTCACCTCCTCCACAATAATGGATGACTTTGAAGGAGAATTTGGAGTTTTTCGGAGGAACAGGAGCAGTAGAAACAAGGGCAAAACCTTTTGACAAGGTGATGAGCTTGTTCTTACAGTGAGTTTGAAAATCTTGCAGAGCATTCAAGACTTTGTATGGATCACCAGAACCTACGATAATTTTATCAACCTAGTGTGGTTTGAAGGATTCGGCAAGTAGTCGAGAAGGAAGGGAAGTACAGGTCAAGGGTAGTCGAGTAGTCAAGATGGAAGGGAATGTACTGAGCTTAATAAAGAAATGAAGTGTTGAGTTTGGAAGGGATAAGAAGACACGAGATTGAGGAGAGTTCTTGATAAGATATGATGAAGAGTGGTGTCAGGCGGAGGAACAAGGATGTTGCTATGATGTAGAAAAGATAAGGTTGTAGATGACAACCAAGAAAGTTCCCCGACCAGAAAAGATAAGGAGGGAGGGAAGTGTGCTTGTCTTATATGCTTGAGGATCCAAATGAAAGTGAGAAGATTGACTGTGTATTTTGACGGGGCACAAGTGATGAAATTTTGGCCGGAGAGGTGGAGAGTTTTCAGAGAAGAGGAAAAATTTTTGGGCAACAAAAAGTGACTTTTTGTTGGAAAGACTCATGGGTCGGAAAAAGAGGGTAAGAGCCAATGTGTTTTTTTACTTAGAGGAGACTACGCGTTAAATAGTCTACATACAAGAGGTCAAACATGTGGTTGAGAAAAATGAATATCAAAATGAATAAAACAGATAAACATATGCTTGAAAAGATGTCTGGAATAAGTGAAAGTTGATAAAGACTAGACCAGGGTTCGAAGACTACAAGGATTGCAGCACTAGACAACATAACAAAATATCACGCAGAAACTATCAAAAACAAAGTAAAAATCATGTAACTTATTTATGAAATCATGTTGAATTTAACAGTGGGATAGATGAGTTTTTTAGGGATGAGAAGAAAAAGAGATGAAATTCCAACAACAAGCCAGGTGACATCATATGATTTCATGTGGTCAAGCGTGCTGTCAGAGGGTTATGAGGTTAGAGGGGTCGTGAGATGAGCGCAATAGTGTTCAGACCTCAACAATCCCCAAGCGCACATGGCACAACCTAAAGCCACCTTGGCACCCTCCCAACCCCCGCTTGGCACATGCCAAAGTTGGCAGGGGTTGGGCCAAAGCCTTGCTTGGCCGAGCCCAAGCAAGGGTGCCACCCACGCCAAAACCAACTCACCACTGATCCTCAACCCTCACTTCTCACTCCTCTCTTCCTAGAACTCATTGGGGGGGGGGGGCAGGGTTATTATTGTTTTAAATACTTAAAGTTATAAATTTACAAAAAAGTCGACCTTCCCTCATTCGCCTAAATCTCCAGTTTGGTTGAGTCCATCACCGCAGAGTTGGACATCTGGAAAAAAAGCAAAAAGCAAAAAATAATTCAATAAAAACAACAGTCAAGAATACAGATAAAAGGGATATAAGAAGTTAAAGAAAAGAATACACTTACATTCTTGTTGGTGTGTTGGACAAGGTGAGGAGGTGAGATCAGGGTGTGTCGATGATCTGATTGGCCCAGAGCTTTGGGTTAGCCAAGCCAGACTTGGCTATGTGCCAAGATCCAAGCCCTGCACAAGGCACCCAATCAAGCCCCCTTGGCACACTCCCAAGCCCCTGTGGCGCTTGGCCACGCAGGAATTGGGATTGTGCCCAGCATGGCTTGATACACCATATATAAAAATGAAAAAATGGGTCTGACCATGTGGAAATCCTTTAAACCTGTACACCAATTTGCTGCAGGCAAATTTAATCCTGCCAAAGTCTAATTCCAAATCACATGAAATTATTAGTATCATGCTGAACTATGCTAAATGATTTACACCAATAATACAATGGGCTCACCTTTTCTGCTGAAGAAGTCTGCATTACCAAAACTCAGGCAGAGATAAATGATAAAAAATCATTACATCACCACAAGAAAAAAAGTTGTGCAACTGTTTGCACTTGACAGGAAATTTTACAAAGGCACCTTTTTAATATCATATGTCAACTGCACACAGTTGGACAACTTGCACAACCTTATCTTGCAGTGCATGACTTAGAAATTGAGATGAGAGGAAGTGTAAGTTTTGGATTCTTTCATGCATTATTGTGAGGCTTGAGTTTCTGAGTAAAGATATTTTCCCTGTGAATTAACAAACACATCTGGGTTTGGGATTTTGAATTCTCAGAATAGGTAAAAACATAGGGAAATTGTAACAAAAAGCTTTACAGGATCCATTTTGAAAGGTTGGAAGTTGTAATTGTTCAAAACATTATAGGATATCATAGGTTAGTGACCATGAAAATGTCTCAATATAAAGGATAGTTTAAATTGGAGATGAGCTCTCCAAGCATATACATATTTTAGTGAAATTCTCATTCATCACGAATAGCTTTTCCAATGTATTTTTTTTCTACCATAGTTACATATTGTGTGAAGTATACTGGGATGACCATCATTCTATAAATTTCTATTGGGTGTGGAAAAGAAATAATTCTCACATCTACATGCTCAGGTTATTTCATGATAAAAACCCATCAAAAATGAGACATTTTCATGTTTTAGAATGAAAATGGAAATAGATTTGAGAGAAAGGGTTTATTGAAAATAACAAGATTTTTTTTGCCCTTTGAGTTTTGCGTTTTATTTCAATTTTTTTAAGTAGGTCCTTGATGAATTGTCTGATTGAATGGTGCTTTGATACGAACATTCCAGCGTTAGGGTACTGACAACTTGGACGACGTGGCTTGTATGCCGTTGAACAAATAGCGGATCAGCTATACAGAATTATGCGTTACATTCACCTCTGTGAACTGCGGTAGATATCGTAGAACCTTTCGTGCGATGGGAGAATGTTTTCATACGTCTCGGACCCCCGTTGATATATAACACTAGAGCTTGTGGATCCAACAAGAGACGCGCTTTGCAGGCCACCACTTGTGGTCGGGTTCAACCCCTCATAAGCAGCGCCTCCCGAAGTCGAGACCCTGGGGCCGTGGATGGTCATCTGAGTCGAGTTGGGAGTACAAGGTGGTGCATGCTTAAAGTGAGTGATGGCAACCCTGTATAGAAAACGGAAAATATATGGCAATATATATTCACCTCATGTCTCCTCAAGTTAGATGCCACTGAAAAAGATTTCCCACAGGTTGGGCAAGAATGCTTCAAGGAATCGAGGAGCGGCCAGGTTAAATCACTTGTATTGCATTAGCCTTCCCTCCACAACTTTTCAGACTTAAATACCGATAGTGATAAAAACTTACCGGTTTTTCGCCAGTATGGGAGAATCGATGAGTGGTTAATGAACTTGGTCGCACAAATTTCTTTTCACCTACATTTAGAAGAGAACAATTTATCAAGGATTTTACCACATTAAATCTTGAAAAATAACTCACAAATGTCACAAGTATAGAGCCTCGGACTGCGACGAGGAGGCGAAAATGAAGCTGAATTGTCTTCATAGCGAGTGCTATTCCCGAGCTCTCTTGGCGAAACATTCTGCGCTACATTTTCGTTAAAAGAATGTTGTAGGTTTGTGGAAACCCCTAGTGACATTGGTGGTGCATCCCGAGTACGGTAGTTGGACAAGAAATCAAACTGATTCCCAATGTCCATCTGACCAATAAATGGGGAGGGGATGGCTTCGCTAGGATTTGTAATATCATAACCAGAAGTACTTCCATACATTGAAGAGGGAGCAGATGCTAATGAAAACATATTTTGATTGGATGGAGTTCGGGATCTTTCATACGTCACATTTCTGCTAGAAGACAATAACATCCCCGGATCGCCACAAAAGGTCATATCGTTAGGGTAGCTATTGTTCTCCGGTCGATTTAAATATCCTCGTGGATAATAAGACGAGCTGTCGGAGGGTGGGATGTGCTGCATCGTGATGGCCACAGGGACTACTGGTTCTTGCGGGTGCGTCAGAATGTACCTTGGGCCTAGCTCTATTTTCTTCCTCAGCGCAAGGTTGACTGAGCATGCGCGGAAGAATTGGCAGGAAGCGAAACACCGTTTTGACGCAAGGAAGAAACATAAATTATTTATTTGAATGGAAATGCATCACTATCAGTTCACAAAGCCTAGCCGCCGATAACTGGAAAATTTGAAAGAGAATTTTAAGAATTTGAATTCAAGATTTCGCTGCTCCGTCTGAATCGCTTCGACTATGAATAACAATAGAGAAGGGGGGAGGGGGGGGGCAAAGAGTCAATCAGATGACAAACCTGCTTTTTGAATTTGACCGCCTTTCTCTCAGCACTGGAATGAGTGTTTTGCTGTCAGTTCGTTTTTCGGGTTGCAGCGTAGCGCTTATATAGGTTTTCTTTCTTCAACTGCAACTCAGACCACCTACCATCCGTCGCAACTTCTTGCTTGGACAAAGCAATGATAACAATAAATCGGGGTAGGGTAGTAGTGCCTTTCTCAGACCGGGTGACGCTGATGAGGGGGGGGGGGGGGGGGTCATTTCAGAGCTCCTGGATGTAAGCTTCCGCTAGGAGGGTGGGTACAGTCAGATACAGTTGCGGTTCTAAGTTCCAAAAAGTAGTCATGAATTCTAGCAACTGGAATCATACGACGTGATTAGAAGGGACAGTCGGATCGAGGTTCCACGCCCCCCCTGCCCCGCCAAAAACAGACTCACGAGACGTTATAGGTTTTGTAAGTTCTATGTGGGGCCTATTCCTAACATGGCTTTGAGTAGGCTGCAAAAATTGACTGGAAAATTGATTGGACCTGAACCCCGATAGCCACCGTACGCCGATGACGGGCATAGCAAGGAAACGCAGGCACTCTTGAATGTTTCAGTTAAGTTTTCGTACAGGTCGGAAGACCTAAACTAAACTCAATCAAAGAACGAACAGTGGCACCGCTCTAACGCTTGGACATAAGTTAAGCCGTACATTAACCCCCAATCAACATTGGCAGGTAGGCAAAGGACCATTGAAGTGTTTGCCTTGCTAATGCTGTGATCAATTTTGAATATCCTCATGTATTTCAATAAGTCCGACGATAATTGTTGGACCAGGTAACCGGTTGGACAATGGACCCTGTCAAGTCTTTTGCGTCACTTCACAGATCATGTATTCATGTACCATGCTTTAAACATTATTCCTCGTTTTACATCGCTATCACCGGTTACACTTTCTCTTGATCGTCATGCGGGGATCGACGAACTCCGCAAGTTTATATTATAACAGATGCAACGATAGTTTTGGTGATAAATCCATGATGACTGCGGTGGCCGTCTCCCATTCCAGCCTTCTCCTTATCAGTCCCTACCTGGATTTCTCTACCTGTCCCTACCTTTCATGAAACCAACAGAATCGAGTGGGACTAAATTAACAGTAAGGCTTTGACGTTTTGATGCCGAATACATTTGACAAAATTGCGCCACTCGGATCACTGGTGATTGCACGTTGCAGATCTCTTTTTGTGGCTTGACTTGAAGTTTCTTGGAGTCTGGAGCATCTTATCCCGCAGACCTCCGCAGACCCTTCCGTGCGACTGGTAAAGGCACGTTTTGATCACGGTATGCAACTGTATCAAGGTTGCGATAGAGTGGTAAAGGACTCAGAACGTTCAAGATAAAGGCATGCCGTCTTGCAACGCGACAAAGGCTGACCAAGAGGAGAAAAAAAAGAGAAGTTCATATGGCCGCTAGGTTTGGTGCGGGGGGAGTGTTCAGTAAATTATATTTTTGTCAGTGGTCGAAAACCCCACATGCCGCAGTCCACAAGCCGTCCCATGAACCTCAAGGGCGGCTCACCTGATTGGTAAAAAGTGAATATCATCTTGACATGTGGCTGTATGCATCGCATCCCAAAGATGTCCCTAGATTTTGAAGTGAAATTGAGCGTTGAAAGAAATCCCTCAGCCTCAAAGATCTGTTTCGCTTCCGCTGTAATGTGCCGTCATCATCTGGTAAGTGACGTTTACTTAGCTGCGTGCCGATCCATGTGCCTATAGCAGGTGCCAGGCAATTCAGCTGCGTAGCTCGGCGTACAGGTCTGTACTGATCGCGGGGCGGGGGGAAGATTTTGCTTTTTGCAAGAGTTATGTATGTATTCTCGAGTGCGACCCATGACCTTGTCTTACATTTCTCTTCTATCAGCATCAATATGTTTTTCAAGTAGTATGTATCGTGAAGCAGATACAACAACTCCTCCGAAGAGAAGTAGGTTTGGTGTGAACCTCCTAAAGGACTTATATAGCTGGCTCATTGGCGAACTTGAATCCATTAGGCTCGCGGTAGCGGGCCGCCTCCGGGTCCGAGGGACAGTTGAGTTTGATTCATTTGACAGTACTATGATTGCAGTTCCTCTGTTAAACAAGTGTGAGGGGATCTGGGCAAAATATGATTGATTTTTTGTGAATACATTGAGGTAACAGCAGCTCATGTACCGCTGATTTTAGCCCTGTGGAAAAATGTGCTCCTGCCAATTTACCAGGGAAGTGTTCGGGTTTGGCCCTTTGTGGGACAGCTCCCCTTTGTACTTCAAATTGTGCATTGGAATTTAGCGTGCATAAGGGTTAAAAACATCAGTAGACCATTTACTGGAGCACAAACTACCAACGCTGCCACAGATACGATATGCTAGTGTGTGTATCATGGAGAATTCTGCAAAGCTGCATGGCCAAAAACCAAATTTGTTGAATCTCCTTGCAAATAAAAGCAGATTGGTCAGATAGTTTTTTTTTATTGGGGCTCAGATACATAGTGATACATGGCAGATACGGGCAGATACCGTATCTGTGGCAGCGTTGAAACTACCCTATTATGAACATTTAAGCAAGGTGCCTGAATTGAATTAAACTCAAAGGAGTAAAACAAGGGGGGTTGGAAATGCAACTCCCAACAATCTCAGAAAACAACTTAGAATTATGGGTCAAGGCTTTTCTTACAAGCCAATGCACATTCTCTTAAAAAGAAATCCTCTTTAGCCAGTAATTAGGAGGTCCCACCCAGGCAGTGGGTATAACCTTGACCTTCTCCCCAAGGAGGCTTCCTCCCCCAAACGCGTACAGCCTGTACCCACTCACCAAGGATGCCTGCTCTTTTGGAAGTGGGTATGTATGGAATGTACCCACCAAAAGGAAAAGTCATTGATCACTTTGGTTTCAAATGAATCACATGATGGAAGAACAGTATAATATCTCAAAATTTTCAGAACCAAAAATGATTTGGAGTTCATTGTCCAGGTCAAAATCCTGATTAATTTTTTTACAGAAGTCAAAATTGTATAGAAGGATTATGACAAATTTTACAAAAGTTTTATCATATTTGTTTCTGAAACAATGTGCCAAAAACATTGGATGATGCACTGTACATACATGAGTAGAGATGAAAATGTAGTTATAGATAATGGGAAGAAATGAAGGATGAGTAGGAAAAAGTAAATTACAAAAACCAATTAGATGTGTCAAGTGAGAAGATGGAAAAAGGAAGAGTTGTAATTCAGAGACTGAGTCAATGAAAAGGAGCAACTAACACAGGAGTCTATTTATACAAGCATGTGAAACAGTCTACTCCCTTGAGTGTTTATTTTGATCAGAGAAGAGGAGAAAAATAGAACAATAAAAGTGGAAAAAGAAACTAACCTGAAGACCGCAGAACTTTGTGTTGGGAAGGATGAGGAAAAGGGAATTCCTCCTGCTTTTTGGCTCCAGTATATATGAACCAAAAAAGAGAAACATAAGATGTTTCAGGTTGTAGTGTATGAGAGAAAGGTAGGAGTCAGACTGACAATAGATACAAGAGATGCCATGGAAACTCAAGAAAAATCCAGTCCATGCTTGATGGGCAACTTCCCATTGGGCCTAGAACCCTTGTAAGATGCAATCTACACACCTTAGACCTCATTTTCTGGTAAAAACACCTGTTTTTCAAAGCTTTGTAGCAACGCTGCCACAGATACGGTATCTGCCCGTATCTGCCATGTATCACTATGTATCTGAGCCCCAATAAAAAAAAACTATCTGACCAATCTGCTTTTATTTGCAAGGAGATTCAACAAATTTGGTTTTTGGCCATGCAGCTTTGCAGAATTCTCCATGATACACACAGTGTATCGTATCTGTGGCAGCGTTGTTTGTAGTGAGAGCTCTCAGGCCAGCTAGTTGTGTTTTTAATTGCAGTGTTAATTTAGGAATGAGAGGGGCTTGGAAAGAATAGTGAACACAAAATGTTAGGATAAGGGATAAGTGGAAGAAGATGATGATTCCAATCATCTCGAGTGATGACTTGAGCCTTGAGATGATCAGATTTTGAACTCCCCTTTTAAAATAGAAAGGGGGTATACTTTGGCCAATGGGACAGTTTTGATAATCTGATGGGCTTACACCACGGGTCGGTCCAGACGACTTTTGGTCGGTGCGCTGGATGGTTGTCCGGCCAGTTTTCCATGGCTCTGTGAGGACCATCCTATTAAAGATGGCCCCGTGGGACCCGGGTACCGCCTACGTTTTTTGCCCAAAATAGACACTAGGTACCGCACCTGCGGCCTGTTGGCGGGTACTGGCGGTACCGGCGGCGGGTACCGCGGTTACCTGACGCCAAAAATGCAGTATATTACTCTAAGATTCAATTTAACATTTTTTTTTTTTTTTTTTTCAATTTATACTCAATAAGAGTTTATCCTGTCTCAATTTCAAACACACCCTCTCTCAGAAGGGTACTTTGCACCAAAGATGCAGTTTAACAAACCAAAAATGCTGTTGAGCATTGTTTTTCTTTCATTTTATACTAAATAAGTAAGAAAGATTCACTTTTTTTTTATTTCAATAAATAAAAAATTATCACATTTTTTCTCTTCAATAAATAAAAAAGTACCACATTTTTTTTCTTTTCAATTCATAAAAAAAGCTGTTTGTTTTTTTTTCTTTGCAATTTATAAATTTTATACTAAATAAAAATCTTTGAAGTCCCAAGCACTCCCACAAAATCAATCTTCATCAACTACTATAACTTTTCTCTTACCCTTCTTCTGCATCTTATTATCTTCATTGATTCCATGTTTCCACCGAGCCAAAATACCCTCTGGAATCATCTTGTTCTTCGAATAGAAAGCAACAGTCATCCCCCTGCTTAAAGATTTAGCAGCAAGCCTGTGCCTCTTCAATGTCACATAGTCGCGTCCAAAACTGAATGCTCGCTCGACATCAACGGATGTTGCTAGAAATATGAGATGTGATGTGATTCAGATTAGGCATGCAAATATATCAAATTTGTAAATTGGCCCACTCACCAGGACAACTTAAGACATCCAGTGCCATGTGCAACAGGCCCCCATGTGTGTTTCCGGAGCGCTTCTGCTGTATCCACCACTGCAAAGGATTCACCGGATTTCCATCTTCAAGGATAAGTCCACCGGCAAGCCACACATCGAGTGGGTCAGATGAGCTTAGGCTCCCCCGCGCAGCCGCTGCGTTTCCCAGACCAGCAAGCATTGATGTCCTTGACTGTGACATTGATGATCCCCTTGGTCAGATTATGC